GAATTAATCTTCCTTAACTGCTGGAACTGAGTCGGAAGCACCTGCACCATAAAACTTCTGCAGCCTCCCCAGGGGGTTCTGTTAGCGCCCAGGATTGAGCATCGGGGCTTCACAACCACAACGCTGCCATCGCCTGCGCCGCAGGGAAGGAAGCTACAGCACGGAAAGTGCCGTGTCTGCATCCCAGGAGCAAACTGCCCATCCCAGGGACAGCACTTTGTCATTGGAGCATCATTTCTGCCTCAAATTCCAGCTTTCCTCCCACCCCCCTCTATTTTCCAGGAACAGACACACTAACAACAACCCCCAGAAATTTCTAACATCCCCTCCTTGCTGCGCATTGCCCCAGTAAGTCCAAGAGAATTAAGGATCAGCCTTACCTGGGATGAGATCACAAAGTTTTTGTACACTTTAAGGCTTCTCTCCAAGTTAAAATAACAAATCAGACAGAAAACCAAACCAAAGCCCAAAACACACCAGTCTCTTCATTAATAATTTCTGACTCCTCACATAAGCATACTGCAAATTCAGCCTCTGCACTTAATGCCAACTCTGATACCACTTAATTGCTGAGACTGTAATTAAAGCGCTGTGTTACAGACCATGGAGCATCAGCAACACAGCCCTTCGTTGGCTAAGGGCAGGCAGGAGCTCCCCAGAAGACTCTCAGTGCCAGAGAACAGCCATGTGCAAAGACACTGTGTAGGAATGCATCATCTTGCTGCATGGCATATACCCACCTTCAAGTATTTTACATGTTTAGGAAGGTCATCAACACCCAAATTCCTTTTTACACAGGATGGAGCAGGAGAAGTACTACAGGGTTTGTTCATCTACAAGAGCTCCTCACCTCCCGGGCAAATTTGCACGCTAAAAAAGCGCACCTCAACATTCAGAAAAGGAATATGATCCTCTGAAGTTCTCAAAATGACTGTTTCCATTTTCTCCTTATGTTATGTTGGGAGTTTTTCATCAATCTTTCTCTACTGTGATTGCTCCAAGGGGCACAGTGACAGCTGGGAAACCTCCCAGTGTGCTGCCACATTGGCTCTAGCCTCCAAATAGAAGCTCCTTGTACCTGCACTGGGAGATGTACGTGTGCATCCACCCCATCCCAAGGTGGCTGTGGGCATGTCCTACCTTCTCCTTGCTTGACCCATGTATACAGGACAATCTGGCCTGGTTTTGCCCAACCTGACCACGTCAGGGATTACTCACAAGCTTCCAGTCTTTGCCCCAGTCATTCCTGTCTCTGTGCCTTCTGGATGAACAGCAGTGCCAAGGGTCCAGTGACCGGGGGCAGAGAAGGTAAGCAAGGCTGATAGCAGGTTTTTCCTTGACTCGCCTGAATGAACTGCAGTTGCAGCCACGTATCATGGATGTAGTGACAGTAAAGTCTCCTGGTTTTATTTGTCGTGCAATCAGGGGTCTTGGAGTCAAACGCTGAGGGTCCAGAAGGCAAATGTGATCTCCTGAGAGCGGAAGTCATGAGATCGGCCTCTCAGGCACTCTTCTAGTCTGTTCATCATTGAGTAAAGCCATCGACTCAGAAGATAAAGTCAGGCTTTAAGGAGCACAGAGACCCAAGTCAGGCAGTAAATGACCAGGGGGCAGATGGACCTGCATGTTTGGCCTTTTCTAAAAGCATGGGTTGAGAGCACCCTGTACATGGCACAGGAGCACAGACAAGGCAACAAGCAGGTCCGTCAGACACAAATATCTCCATAACAAGAAAGGTTTAACTTGTTTCTCCTGCACTGCTGCTTTCATCCACCCTTTTCAGAGGGCCAGAGCTGAAAATAAAAGGCAGAAAGAACAAGTTGATGGAACAGGCCAACTGCCCAAAATGAAAAGGTTTAAGGCTGAGTCAAACCCTTCAAGTCAGCAAGGAGGCACTGTGGAAAAAGCCTACTTGACATATCAAGAGCTGAGGTGAAATCGTCAGTTAGAGGAGAAAACTACATAGAAAAAAGAGAAAATAAGAGATGCTCTGATGAAATATCTCCAAACACCTTCAACAGCAGCTCCTCAGGGAAGGCTTCAATGCTCAGCCTGAAGGAGAGGGCAGCGGAGAGAGAGGAAAGGCACGGCCAGGGCAGGATGGGCAGCTGGTAAAGGTCTCTGGCACCACACACAATCATCCCCAGCATGAACGTGCCACTGATTACTATGCCCTAATTTAGACAGCACATCCAAAAAGGGCAAGTAACTTCTTTCCATGATAGCTTTTTCTTTCTAAACAAGCACATCTTATGCACATCATGTATTTGTATCATGTGCATTACTGCAAACACAGCTTCTCATTAAAGTAACTGAACTGGAACAGGGCTAACGCGTTGTATTTTCTCTTTATGCCTGTGTGGAACTGGCACGTTGGACCAAATTCCCTCCTTGAATAACGACATTATAACCAACAACAGCACTCGTCTTCACAGTTTTGCTTAAGTCACTCTTCTGAAACAGCACAACCCTTTTGTTTTCCAAAGCCCGAGGGATTCCCAAATACTTCTGTATTAATTATTTACTCCCTGTAAATTTCAGTGTTCAAACAGCTCTGCTAAGACAACTACAGAAAACCCAGGAAGGGCAGGTTGTATGTGGGACGGCTGAAGGCCACGAGAAGGAGTTACGGGAGGGTTCGTGCCTCTGTTGCAGGGCTGGATGTGTCATTATCCTTGCAACTAACATCTCAAAGGTATTCGTTTCCCTTTCCTTCCCTCAAACTCCACAATGCTTCCAACTGGAATTAAGTTAGCACTTACAAAAGCAAAACACCGTAATTTTAGCACTGTATCACTCCAATTTGTTTTCTTTTTATACTCTCAAGAGAAAGAAAACCTTTAGTTCCCATGTGCCTTTTGTCATGACAAACCACAAAGATAATTACTAGGAAGCTGCTCGGGTAAAACCTCTCAAACCGACTGTCACTGGAAAGCCAGACAGGCATTCCCAAAATAACAACTAAATAATTGATGTTATTGGAGTCACACAACACAATACCCGTAACAGAAATAACCAGCAGCCAGCCCCCAGTAACCACTGGCTTTCTCTGGCTTCTGCCACCAGTATGAGTCACGTTTCTAGAACAAGGGAGGGGTTACTCTGTGTCGTAGATTACCCCAAGGCTACAACTGCTATCAAGAGTCTGTGCAGTGACACATCAAGATGCTTTTAGCCAGTATGGGCTTTAATCACAGGATAATTTTAATTATAATCCATAATCCCTTGAAGTTCCCTTGTTAGTAGAGATGTGGACCTCACAACTGACTTTGACTGCAAACCTTCCACAGACGGAGTTCAGAGTAACTTTGTCCTTTCCCCAAAGCCTTAATTATATTCTCACTTTGAAAAGAAATGTTTAAGAAATCCACAACTTCAATCTAACCAGAACTTAGATGCCAATTCAACTACAGAAGCAGCTTTCCGCACCCTTCCACTGAAAACACAACTCTCACACCATCCACCTGCCAGACCGAACCCCTAGAGGAAGCATTTTAGTCCAAGACATAAATAGGGTATTGAAGAAAGAAGAAATTCTCCTATTTAACCATACAGCCACTTAATTCTCTTAAAGTCCTCCACACTGCATAGATGAAGAAATGAACAAATCAATGGCTAATGGGATATGGACACGGTGCTGAATGGGTGGTGCACATCCACACGTCCTAAAGCCAACACAGCGGTGCAGCTCTGCGGGGGAGGACAACACAGGACCAACAATAATCCTGCTCTTTCTTACCTCTGCTCTTGAACACCAGCAGGTGGTAGCTTGCAAATTAAGTCATAGAACAAAAAAAAAACAAACCATAAATAGTTTGGCAAAAATTACAGCAGTGTTTACAGAAGGAAGAAAGGAAGGGAGAGAGCAAAATGTGCTGCCAGAAATAGAGAAGTGCAGACGTTTTAGCATGACACAGATACCGGAGAGCTTGTCACACAAAACCAAACACGAGTGCTCTGCATCAGTCGAAGCCTCCTGAGATACTCAGATTAAGTGGAACCTCGCCTCCTCTGCTTTACTTTGTGTCTCCACAGGATAGTGCTTATCTCAGAAATGAAATACCGGAATCGTCTCAGGTGAGGAAACTGCGAAGGCAAGGAGGATACAGGCATCTCTGCAGACACTAAGAAACAGCCAAAGCAGCGGCTGTCTCGGCACCAAGTGACTAATGAAAGCAAGCTGTCACAGAGGAGCGCTAACCTTTACTAAAGCAAATAGTCCCCTCAAAGCATGTGCTGGCCCAAAGTCAAAAACGTGGTATTTCCATGTATTTTAATGGACAGACTATGTGCAAATTATATATATATATTTTTTTTTGAGAGTGGTATTTCAAAGCACAGTATTAAAAAACGGCTTCAAGAACACAGCGATGAAGACAACGAAGATGGCGCTCTCTTGAGACGAAGGGCTACTCAATTCTGTGCCTGCCTCAACAGAAAATTCTCAAGGTCAAAAGGGATTCCAAAGAAGAAGTCAGTAATGATTCATTTCCAAAGCTCACCAGGAATTCAGATTGAATTTTAATTGAGTGTTCAGCACACACCTTGCCCCATGTCTGCAAAAATACAATCTTTCTGTAAAGTAAGGCTGTCAGTCGTGTACCAGTACCTGGGGTTTTGGGTAATTAAAAAAGAAGAGAATATTTGCTCATTAGAGGACACAATTCCTCTTGCTGCACAAACTTCGAAAAGCTTTGGGGGCCTTTGAAATACTGTGAGCCATTTCCCAATATAAGAATCCATAGGGGAAAAAAATCCATAGTGTAGGCCAACAAAGAAAGAAGAGTCGTATTTAGTGCCCTGGCCAACTTAGGAGAGGTCTCAAGAGGTCACAAACACTCATGTTCCTCCTGCAGACATCCAAACACAAATCCACACAGTAGGTTAAAGTTTATGTAAAGCAAATAAAAGCAACTCCATAGTTGCTTACAGAAGAGGGCTGATTTCACAGGATGCCCCTTATCCCGAAGACGCTGTCGCAGCCCAGTGACAGTTGCCCAGCGTACCCAGGATAAGCCACCTACCTGGCTCCTCCGCCCCCCAGCACCAGGGCGATGGCGTTTCCAGTCAGAACACGAGCCAGGCGAGAGAAGTCAGAGTGACGGTCTGGTGGTTTCTGGAACACGCGTTCGTACATCTCTATCTGCAGGAGAGAGGCAGAAGATGGTCACTGGAAAGGCAGGGTAGAGCCTGCACCACCAGCCATATCATTAGAAAGTGGATAGCTGTTCTTCAAATGAGGGTTAATGAACTATCCAACAGCTCGAGTGATCACCTCTCTTACTTTCATAGTAGCTGGGAGCATTTCATCATAGCACAGGATTTGAAGGTACTGGGAAGCATCCCAAGTCTGCCTCTGCTTGGCCTTCAGCATGGTTTTTGAAAGCAGGGGGATCCTCCAAGTGGAAAGGGCTCTATCCCATGCACACACCTATCCATATGACCTTAAGAAAGTATTTACTGTCTTCAGCCATGCCAACTAAGCATCCAGAAAGAAGACATGAGCCCCTTACCCTTACAGTAAATATAAATTTCCTACAGTAAATATAAGTTATCAATATATAACTAAATTTCCTATAGTAAATTGAGGCCAAACAGATTTAAGAGAAAACCACGTGTGTAACAGTCACTTGCACATCAGAATATCATATAGTACCATTATATTGGGTTACAAGTAAGGTACCACAGCTAAGGGACCAGCCACCAAAGCAGGAATCACAGAATATCAGGAGTTGGCAGGACCCTCTGGAGCTCCCCCAGTGCAACCCCTGCCAGAGCAGGATCACCAGAGCAGTCACACAGGAACACGGCCAGGGCTTTGGGTGTCTCCACACAAGGAGACTCCACAACCTCTCTGGGCAGCCTGGGCCATGCTCCAGAACCCTCACACTGACAAAGTTTGGCCTCATCTTCAGCTTGAACCTCCTGTGCTCCAGCTTGGGACCATTGCCCCTTGTCCTGGCATTAGACACCAATCTCTTACCAGCTTGGGCAGGCTTCTTTTGGAGAAGACCCTGCGTGGGCAGTGGAGATGGAGATGAGCAGAACACCAGCTCCGCATGTTGAGCCACTCCACGGTTCGGGAAGGGAGAGGGCCATCCTCCTTATGGAGCAGGATGAGTTGCTTCTGAGCTCGGACCGCAGTGTTCTCCAGCATCCTCTCCAGCTACAGCACAAGATGCACCAAAGGAATGGGGGTGTCAGGCATTGACTGCTCCAGTATCAGTTTAACAGAGTATTGTATTATGAAATACATATATATATACACACACACACACACACACACACACACACACACACACACGTATATATATGACCCCTATTCCTATCTGAATCTGCAGACAACTACGCACACTAAGAACCCTCAAACCAGATTGCTTTAGACAACTACTCTATTAGCTGTGGGCTTACCTGGCACACAGAACTCTCAAACCAGACAAGGATTCAAACCTGAATGCTTAAAATTGAATGCTTTTTACAAAAAAAAAAACCATTAAATGCACATCACAGACACATGCTGTTCACGCACAAGTGATACTTAAGCCTACAAAATGTTCAGCATGTTTTGTTCTTTCACTCCCAGGCCCCTTTTTCCTCTTTGCATTCCTTCTTTTGATTTTTTCTGTTGTTGTTTTAGGCAACCGATGGTGAGTTGCCTTTACTGTGCATCCCGCCTCCCACACAGTCGTGAAGGAGCGACACAAAGCGCCACACAAGAACGCCGCAGATGGTAACAGCCCCAGGCTCTTGGGAGGTCAGACCCAGCACTTCGCAATCCTCAAAAACCCACTCGTGACCTCGTTTTGAAATTTCTTGCAGAATTTATATGTCAGGTCGAACAACTTCGGTAACAAAATATCAAAAATAAAAATAGATAGTAAAAGGGGGAAAAAAAAAACCCTAACAGCTTACAATCTGTAATAAAATGTATTAAATTATTCATAAAATACAATTTATATCTACTTTTTCCTAGGCATACACCATAAATTTCATCCAAGCAGAAAAAAATGTCTCTCTGTCTGGAAATCCTGCAAAGACTTTCTGGACAGAAATGCAATTTGGCTTTTGATTTGCTATCGGCCAAAACGACTCTTTGGAAGAGAAGTGCCCAGCTGGAAATACTTCTGTATAAAACCTGCCATTTCAGAGGATCCTCGTGCAATTCTTTTTTCCATTTATAACACGCATTTCTCAGGAATATTTCATTATTTACGCTTCGCTGGGTATGAAACCCAGGAAAATTCGGGAGTATGAAACGACCTCCTTTGATCTGGGGTGTTAACACCACAAATAGAGGTAGGAGTTGCACCCTCACCTCACCCACGGTAGGCTCCTGGTCCCCCAGCCCCACGATGAGGATGCAGTCAGCCTGGCGGATGCAGCGCTGCGTCCAGGGCGTCAGGGTGCTGTCTGCCTGGTAGAGCACGATCCGGTGGATGTCCTCCTGCTGGCCCAGCCAGCTGGTCAGGCGGTACTCGTGGATACTGGGGATGGAAAAGACAAAAAACCCTCAAATCCAGACTGGTTTAGATCACAGCTGCTGACACACGAGAGGGAAATTTGTCTGAAGGGCATCAGAGACTGGCATCTCTCACTCATCCAGTCCAGGAATGTTACCCGCCCACATTTCCAGGCTCGTGCTTGCTTTATTTCTCCATTATTTGTACATATATATATGTGCACATATCTATTTGATGTATACACAGAGAAAAGAGGATGCAGTGTGCCTAACTTCAGTAAGACTTCCATGAATCCCCGAAAATGAGGGCACAATACTCACTTGGACTAATTCAGCCATTCCTCACTATGGATAAAAGAAACCAAACCCACCCACATGTGAACCAAATACTTTTGAAACACTGGTCCTTCAAACACCTTGATCAGAAAGCCCAGTAAATGCTAGAACACAGAACTTTATTCCCAAACGCTGTATCTTTATCAGAGCAGCACGCTATCTTTCTGCATTTTATCAGAAATAAAGAGGGCAGGTACCTATCCAGCGCAGCAGAACCAAGCCGCTGTTTGATGTTATCACTGGTGAGCAGCAAAGCAGGACCTGGAAGAACAAAAAGTTTCACATGTGAACATGCTGACAATCTCTGAGAAAACGTGGCTATAACAGAGAGAGCTCTGTGAATCTGCTTTGAAGTTCATGATGGATCAGAGCACTGATTTGAGCTGTCATAGAAGAAAGAGCCAGCACAGAGTCTCCACTAAGATTTTCACACCTATCTGCAATAATGTCTCCCCATTTTCCATATTCCCTGAGCTCTGTTACTGCCGTAGTCTCAGCTCTCTTTTATTGCACACCTCAGTGCGACGCAGGACGACAGCTTCTACCGCAGCTGCATTTTCACAAACACAACACTCTGAGCATCACGGACCTTTGCCAACCACAAAAAGCCCAGAAATCTGCTTTTAATGACAGAAGCTATTTCACTGACCTGCTGAAACGCACCATTTGTACATCCTGTGCAGAAGCAGCTCCCCAGATGAGCCCTAAAGCTCTCTGTAGCTGTACCACTTATTCAATGAGCCAACAGGGACCTACACCACTCCCAACCTCAAGCAGAAAAAGCCTCCCAAATCTGTAGGACACAGCCTGATCCCCATCACTCCCACTACCAAGACAGGCATCTGGCAACAATATAATATCCCAGACGAATTTCTTGCAGGCACTTGAGTCTATTTTTCTTATTGACAACTCTATGTCAGCAGCAGCAACACAAGCCACATGTGGTGGAGGTTGCAGAGTAACTGCAGCTAAATACGAAAAAGCAATGATAGGAAAACTTGAGGGATTAACCTCACACCTACAGAAACTATTGTCTGCCTCGTACCAAGAGAGAAATTCGCATTTACAAGACACGAAAGAGCAGTCGCTTTGTGCTGATGTTTTCATAATGGACCCCTTCATTTTCTCAGTAACAGAAGAACTGAAATTTATGTATGAAATAACAAAACACTTAATTATGGGAGGTCTCTCAAGGCATTAATAAAGCAGCACGGCTTAATGAGTTGAGTAAAAATCAAGGAGCCATGAATGAACAACATGGTAAGAGATCACAATTTCATACTTACATGCTCAAAAAGCAAAAACCACAAATACAGTGCATGGAGCTGGGATCCTGACCTCCAGGGCCAATTCATCTACCCCCCAATGCCCCATTCCTCCCGTAAAGACTTCATTCTGTTTAAATGTACCTTAATATTAGACTTGAAAACACTCAGAAGTGTGATCTTTCATCTGGTATTTTCAAACAACCAAATAACGCTTGCTCTTCATTACACCGATGATGAAGAAAGAGCAAATAAAGATGGACGAAAGTACCCCAGTAAGTTGGGAGCAAAAGATAAAAAGTAAAAGCTGGTGAGAAAGCATGGAAAAGAGGATGACTTGGGAGCAGAATTTCATCTCCTCATCCTCCAATCAAGTTGATGTTGGTGGGTTCCTATGACAGGACAAGTCCAGAGCATCAGGAATTGGCCCCTAAGCATTTCAAGACCTGAAGTGGTTCAACCTCAGCCCCTTCAGTGCTGCTCCTTCGTCAGTGCTCGCTGAACCCCATCTGCAGGGAACAGATCCAATGCTTGCAAGGGATTTTACCACTGAATTTTTAACATCAGTACATTATTTGATCTGGTTCACCATTTATCCCCCCAAAACAGTTGGGCTAGCACAGCTTTGGATGAGGAAATGGGATTAAGAGAGGTCTCCCAGAAGAAATCCTCGTGGCTTTGCATGCTATGAGGACAGCGAGGCAGAGAGGGCAGGTCAACGATGAAAAAGCATTCAAGAGCAGAGTTATCATTTGTGTTCATTAATGTGTCAAAGTTCTCAGCAAAACAGAAATGATATGTGGACCAAATATTCTTCCTGGATATGTGACGTACAAAGCTTTGTGACAGTGGGGGAAGTTTAGGAGGCAAAGACGAACAGCCAGGAATGCAAAACGAGCTGAGGAATACAATAAAAACGTCAAGTGAGAGAGACTAACGGCGAGGAGGGAGCAGCTCCACCTCTGCGCTCGCCTCCTACCTCCCCATACCCAGACACCGAGACCCAGGAACAAAGCAAAGGAGCTTGGATCTGATGCACTGGGGACACAAGTCCTACAGGGAAACCATCAAACCCAGTGACCCAGCCAGAAGACCTTTACACAAGGTGGGAGCAGACTTTGCAGAGCTGGGGTGCATCTTTACCTTAGCCAAGGTGATGGCTACCTCACCCACAGGTATCTTAAATGGGGACAACACATCCCCATCGAGCACCAGAAGAGCCTTGGAGAGGCAGACGATGTCAGAAATCATGTCCACGCACCCCACTTCTGTATTTGGAAAAGCAGTGGTGCCAATACATGACACAAACACGTGTGTACAGGCAGAGACACGGCTGTGCTGGCACAGGGGGAGTCTGCCAAGCATCCCCTCCACGCACCAGCAGCGCAGACCAAGGCGCCCAGACCCTTCCTCATCCCCAGCACCGAACACGGCAACGCTTCCAACCGAACCAACTCTGTTTTGCTTCAGAAATAACAGCCATCTGCTCCACACTTCCAATTCCTAGCAAGCTTCCAATTAATCAACCATTAAATAACCCTTCATTAATGTGATCAAGAACACCAACATATGTGTTCTCAAGTGCCTAAACCAGAATGACCAAAAGCGTTACTTGAACTAAACTGCTGAGAGCAGCTAAGTAATAAAAACCATCCCCAAGGACATACCCCTCAAACAGCCACCCCAGCAGGCAGGAGTGTCCAAGGTGATGTGCAGCGCATCCTCAGCACGCGTTATCGCTGTCACACACCAGCACCTCGTGACGCTCTCGCCACCCCTGACATCAGTCGGCATCACGAGAGCGTCCCTGCATCCTCCAGCAGCCGCCTGCGCACCGCTGAGACCCTGCTCTTCCAGCAGGATGAGACCCGGGGTGAAGAGTTGAAAGTTAAGAACAGAGGAGAGGTGATATGAGGTAACATTAAATATTTATCCGAGCCCAACAGCGTCTCTCTGACTGCACCCAGCAGCAGATTGCTGGGGAAGAGTATAACAGCGAGGAAAACTTAATGACATTCTCCGAGCCTCCAGCAACTCGTAGTTTATGAATCTCTCAAGCCAGAGGCAGTGGCTTTTAATAGTCCTCGGGGGATTCTTCTCTCAGCAAACTCAGGATTGTGAATCCTGGCTTTTAAGCGCCTCAGATGAGAAAACTGTGAGGCAGTGGTCTCACCTCTGGGCACAGAGGGTCAGGACAAGGGGCAGCCTCATGGAGCATCTGAATTGGTACTCCAGAATCACCTGGTTTTTAGTACAGAACTACAACTCCATGAAAGAGAAGTGAGGAGAAAAAAATGCTGGCAAATATCAGAGGTCGAGCTCATTTTATCTTTTAAGAATAAAAGGTGCTCGGGAAACGGGTCAAGGCAGCCCCTCAGCAAGGCTGCCCAGCCCAAATCCTGCTCCAGTCAGGAGGCGTAAGGAGCACACAAGACACAAAACTCTGCCTTTCTTTTCATGACGAGCATGGTACTCACTTTGGTCATTTTTTTCCCCATATAACATCGATTTCATAAGATATGCAGGAGTGGGGATACAGATACCCAGTTGTAAGTCTAATAAGACATGATCAGAATGTTTTATTAAGAGAAATCAGAGACCCAGAGGTCAAGGACTGATCTGTCACGATTAGAAATGGTTGCAAATCCACCACACCTGGAAAAAAGACTCACAGCAACAGATATGTTCAGTAGAAAATGCACTGTGGAAAAATATTAGCACAGCAAACCTGGCTGGACTTCATCAAAAAAGAATTTATATCCGGCCTAATAAAAGTCTACAGAATTACATGTCAAGGAGACAGAGCAGAGAAACGAGTTTGATGTCCCAGTGTCAGAAGATCTCACCAAGCAAAAAATACCAAGTTGTGCCAGGGTCCAGGCACCACATCAAACACTCAATGTTTAAATCTGCTCTGTGTGCAAAGAAGGGAAATTTCGGCAGAGCTACAATTAAAACCTCCAATAATTATTAGTACAGATTTCACTGAGCTTTCCAACATACTATACATTTTTAGAAGTTAAAAGAAAGCTTACACTTAAAGGGCAAAAAGGAAGGAGCGAGACACATATGTTGGATTTGAATTCCTCTCTACTTCAGTTTGAAATGAAATACAATCAGAGGGCTCCCACATATAAAGCAGAATGTGCACATCCATGTGGTGTCATTTAGCTGCTCTCAGTAACAGAACCAAAAAACAGCTAGACAAACACAATAAAAATCTGAATATTGCAAAAGAGCTTTTTCATAAGAGATGCTCTCAGCTCTACCAGGATTAAGGGGAAAAAAATATTAATAACAAAAAGAGACATCACGAGCCTTGACCAGGATTTAGCAGCCTGGTTATCCTGACTGGAAACTGCAGAGCAGTAAAACTCGCCCATCTTCCTGTCAGCGGGGTTCAGAAGCAGAAAATTCTGTCCCTGCTTTTTTTGGAAGTTTTATATTTGACCTCTCCCTTCTTTGGAGACCCAAAGACCAAGGTTTAAAGAAAGGGCTTATACAAGGAAGCGTGCAGGCAAATGGAGCGAGGAAGCAGTGACGCAGCCTCCGGTTCACCACGCTCCGACGATCCCGCTGCCTCCTCCATGCTCAGATGGTATTTTACATTTATCCCTCTCTGCAGATGAAGGCAGATTCACGCCGAGTTCCTGCCCCAGATACCAGGTAACTGCTGACAGCCCAGCTTTTAGCAGAGCAAACGCCACGGCGACACGAATGTCCGTTAGTATTTAATTGGGACACAACCACACTGCAAGCACAACCTGGCCAGCCAGGCCAGCACACTCAGGGGACCTGAAAGCCCAGTCTGGTCACATCAATGGCATCACTGCAACATTCATCCTAATATTAACAGGAAGAGGAAGGACATTTTCTAAAATAATATCTGAAGTTGCAATCAAAAGCTAAACCCAACTGCTCTACCCACACAAGCTCACACAGAGCAAGGTTACCCTCCACTGCTCTGGAACATATTTCGAGCCCTGAGTAATGAAATAATACGGCTCAAATGTTAAGTCAAGTGTTAAATGGCAACATCTGATGACAATTTACAATTAAAAAAAGTTGGTTCGAGAAAAGCCAGAAGAGCAAACAAGAAGAATAGGCTAACAGCAGCAAATCTAGACAGAGAAACCTGGTATTTTCAAATTTGGGAACATATGCACGGAAGGAGACTTCCTGAGGAGAAAGATTTTCAATTAAGCCTTCTCAAGCCTATTAATTAACACCTCCCATCTCCATAAATACATCTAAGGCCTAATGGCAGTTCACACCCAAAGCCCAAGCGCTAATGAGCCAATCTGAAGGCCAGGAGCGGGTACGTGC